ATGTTAATCTTGCTATGTTGGTTACTATTACAATATGTTTCAAGCTATTCTTTGTCAGAAAAGTGGAACGAATCAACCAAAAACTAAATTCTACTATTTGGAAAAAGTTTTCTGTAAGTTAACGTCTGTGGTCAGAGAACTTGGTGAGATTCTTAAAAGAAAGAAACACAGTTTGAATATCTTATTGTTGTTTTTATAAAGTTTATGAAACATTTTATAATATTTTTCACTCATCTGTTTCTTATTATACGACATTTCTATGATTATTGAAGCCTACAAGGCTTAAACACCTATTACGAACTTTAAAGAACAACAACTCGCCAGAATACTTACATATAACTAAATGTACTTCCGCAGGGTCCCCGAAAGAGTTCTGTTTCATGAGAAAATAAAGCCAAAATTAAGAGCAACAAATATTTTTATTTCTTGCTTTTAAATTTATATGTGTGATGCTGTGTTGTGATTCATGGCATGCGCGCGTTTTACTGACGTCACAAAAGTACAAATGTTAAGCGTCCCTTATGTTACGCCTTTTTAGTGTCTACTGACTGACTGATTGACAACAGACAACTGTATAATGGTACGAGTGGTTAAAACAGGTGACCTCTCCAGGCGATTTTTGGCTCCCTTTCGGAAAATAACTTTGTAATGGTAAACTGATAGATTCACTGAAGAAATGTATGCTGTTATAGATTCTTAGAAATAATAATTATTTTTTCATCACGAGTGTTTAGCAGGGATGGGGCGAATATTGGCGATCAGTAATCGAATATAAATAGGAATACTTAATATTTTTATGGGGTTCGTATCTCCGTCTAACGAAACATGCTCGCCCTTTCAGCCGTGGGGGCGTTATAATGTGACGGTCAATCCCACTATTCGTTGGTAAAAGAGTAGCCCAAGAGTTGGCTGTGGGTGGTGTTGACTAGCTGTTTTCCCTCTAATCTTTCACTGGTAAATTCAGGACGGCTAACGCAGATAGTCCTCGTGTAGCTTTGCGCGAAATTCGTAACAAACCAAACCATATTTTCATGAATACGAATACGAAAACGAATACAGGTAAAATGCTAAGTATTGGAATACGAATATATAAAAATGTATTCATGAATACTTTGCCAAGCAATATGCAATAATGATAAAACAGAAGACAGTGAGATTTCAACAATTTTATTTTATGAAACAACCTTTTTAGAAACTGAAACAAACAAAATTGAACAAATAATAACATTTCAATATTTTTTTCAAAATGCAATAACAAGGTTTTAGAAAAAAAAATTAAAGGACACTTTATGAACATCAATCTCTTGTCAGTGAGGCCGCAGCGATCAGGTCTGAGGGTTTTGCCTCCAATGCTAAACAAACGATCAACGCGAGCAGTGGATATTGGAACACTCAGGTAGCATTTGGTTAGTAGAGATACGATAGGAAAGTTTTTTTTTCTTCCAATAATCTAGAGGGTTGCTTTCTTCAGGGATGCAAGGACCATCGTGGTAGGTGTTGATCTCTGTATCCTCCGAAGATGAGGTGGGGGGTTTCTTGGAGGCAGCAAAGAAACTAAAGAGCTTACTTCTTTTGCGAGGGGGATTTACAGTCCTCTTTGGGTTCCATGGTTATAGAGTTATCTGTTGAGGAAACTTTCTTGACTTCTTGCTGCAGGAGAATTCGATTGGATTCATAGACCATAGGTCTAGTGAAACACTAGTCAAGTTTAAATTATGGGATCCAATGCCGCAGCCAAGCAGAAGACACTTCGTTGCTCATACTGAATCAACCGGGCGTGAACAGATTTATTCACTGCAGAAACAAGATTAAATTCTACTTAGACTACATGCTGTCAATCTCAGTCATCAACCCATAAACATATAACTACATAATTGGGGGTAACAATGTTCTGACCCTGGGTGAAATCTGTTGCTTCTTCAAAAGGTATCAGTATTGTCACCAAATCTGAAAGCATAGTTCCATCATGAAAAGTAAGTTTCGATGCACCAGTATCTAGATTATCCAACTTCTCCTGGGAAAGCTTCAATAAAGACTTAATCATTTTAATTTCTGAGTTTCATCGTTTTGGTGGTGTTGTCAACTGAACTCTGGCCTCTTCATCAAGTAGATCAGTTGCTTGTGTTGATTTTCGAATGTAGGACACGATGGCTGATGCTTTGGAAATTACTTTCAGCAGTGATTCAGCTGTTTTCATGCCATCCATGACCACAGACTGTAACAGTGTGAAAAGTAGGAGTCATGTTCAAGAAGAAATTCGCATAAACTGTCTGCTGATTTAGATTCATGCGAAAGTTCATCTTCTGAGTCACTAGCTGTAGATGAGCTATCACTATCTCTCACATTAGGTAGTGTTTGCAGCTCAAATCCAGGGAAATAGAAAGACTTGATAATGTTCGATGCGTTATTAGATGTCACATATGACACCCTTTTGTTGATGTTAAAGTGATTAATTGATTTATCATGTTGAGCTGCAATGTTATCAGATGTGTTACACCACTTGAAACGCCGACATGTCAGCATGACCTTTTGCATTTTCTAGTCATGTATAAAATGACCAGTGACTCCAAGACAGCTGCAAATTTGTCTGCTACTCCAGATATCCACAGTGACATTGATGTTTGGTACAAGCTGCAATAGAAAGATATCTTTTTGTTGGACTTCACCAAACCTGTACTCGATCAACATTGTGGACAGATTCTTTGGCCTTGGAAGAATATACCGAGAATCCATGGCAGCCATTAGATCTTGAAAATCTTTTGACTCAACCATTGAGAAGTATCGCAATATTGTTTGGTTACATAGCCATATAATAGAAAATCAGATTACTCTTGCCAAACCCACCTGTTATATACTCTATTTCAGGATTTTTTAATAGTTCAATACTATATTATTTATACAAATGTGAAAGCCAAGGTTTTCATCTATCAAATTACGTATCATGTAACATTGTTTTCTGTACAGAAAAGTGTTAATTTCTCTTTCAGTACAAACTTCGTTTACACGGCAAACTTTCCCGTGCTGCAGATGTCATTTGTTTGTTTGAAGTTAAGCACAAAGCTACACAATGGACTATCTGTGCTCTACCTACCACGGGTATCGAAACCCAGTTTGTAGCGTTGTAAGTCCGTAGACTTACTGCTGTGCCACTGGAGAGCGAAGATGTAGTAATGACAGTCTAGAAATCTGATGAGTACAAAAGTTGGCATTTACTCTTGCAATATTAAGTATTCACTAAATAATTCAGCGAATACGAATACTATGTCATTGAATTCGAATACGAATTTGGATACACGTACGAATATTCCCAAACCTGTATTCGAATACATACGAATACCCCATATCTGGTATTTAACAATTTCCACTATTAATCAAGGATTACTTACAAATAACAACCGTAACTGTTTTTCCTTCTCCACAAATATCTAAGGAACTATGACAAATATCACAAAACTTATTGTTTGCTACACTACTCACAGGGAATCATTAAACGATTCATAATGTTAATCAGAAGGTACCATAGAAGGTCATAGAAAACAGTGCAGATCCTATTATTTTGAATGATACACGTTTTGCGGTGCAATTCAGGAATACCAATGTGTCATAGATAATAGTGCAGATCCTATTATTTTGAATGATACACGTTTTGCGGTGCAATTCAAGAATACCAATGTGTCATAGATAATAGTGCAGATCATACTACTTGCGTGATGCACATTATAGAAATAATTATGACACCAAACTTCAATAAAAATCTTAAAGCTTCTCGTCATTTATTGTTTTGCCAGAAGTTTTTGACACCTCTTCAAGAAAATCCAAAAAGCGCCTTAATACGAAGACAAAATCGGATAGGTAGACTATTAGAGTCGAAGTTTGATTGAAAAATGCCAAAACGTTTTGATTTAAGTAAACTGAGAGAAACGAGCGACCAAAAGCTGTCAGACAATCGATAAGTGACACAGTTACAATGTTGGTAGTCACATCTCATCTACTTTACACCATATTGGGAACTTCATGGTGCAACATCTCAAAATCATTTAGGTCAACCAAAAGTGTTGACAAAACGTAACAAACATTCACTTGTTAGGCCTTTAAAAAAAGTGCCGTAAATAATTTTCATGATAACTTTACTCTGACTATACTAAGCCCAAAGTGGTCATGTGTAAAGAGTCTGATGAGAACTTGCATTTATTCTAAGGATGCTTGAAATAGTTTTCTGAGTAATGTAAATCCCATCAGCACTGAAATTTTGATTGTTAGTCGCGAATTTTATGAAGATATTAGAGCCGTTTCACTTAGCTTCAAAGATCTAGACAACTATAAGTCTAGAGAAGACATTTGAACAGTCTTTTCCCCCAGTATTTATTCAGTCGATGTAAGTATAGGTACAATAAGGCTTTAGGACAGTGATCACTACATTCCCTTCCTTTCTTTTATGACAACATATCCAAATGCTTCTGGCAGTATACATCGTAAGATACAAACTTACATCATAGATTGACATGTTGAAAATAACAGATTATTAGCCATTTGGGCATGATATGTATAGCCCAAACAAAGCTGTTACATGCTAAACATCATACATATGTATACATAGTTTTCTTGATATGCATCCTAAATATTGGTTTCATGCATCACACACGTCACGAAACAGGGGTTTCATACCAAACATTATATAAATAATGCGTCTCTTGAACGGATCCAGAAGCATTGGCAGTAAGGCATTAAGTATAATACAAGATCTTAAAATCTCAGAGTAACCAGGAATTTTAGTTACGATAAGTTTGTTTTTCGCTTGCGATTAAAGAGTTTGAATATACTGTAAAAATAGTAATTGTTTTCTTGAAAAGTACAGTTTTATTGTTGTTAAATGTTAGAAAAAATAACATTTAATGGAATGTAAATGTTGCACGAAACGTACTATATAACTGGTATCTTACAGATGTTTTCTCTGACTTCGAATGTTTTAGATATTTTATTTTAATTCTTCATTTCTCTAGGTTACTACTTGTTTTATGCGGTCAACCAATCAGATTCACTAAAGTTCGCTAAAATTGAAAGTCCTTGGTTAACGCAAGGTAGTGAAAATCAATGTTCTTTAGAGGTCTGGTTCCATATGTATGATATGAATCAAGGAACAGTCAAAATCCTCATAAAAAATGACCAATTTATCACGTCGATGGCAGACCACTTTTCGGGTAACAATAGAAGCAGGTGAGTTGTTATTTTAGATTGATTTCTATGTTTTTTCAGCCAAAGTGTGGGCCTACTTATCAAATTACACGGGCCTGCGATGGTTATATTGTTTTGAAATTTTTACGTGTTCTACAGTAATTCCTGTACACTGAATTATAAAATGATATCCATTTTTCTCCATCACGTACAGATTTTTCACGAAACGTCATAATGTAATACATAAAAGAAAGACTACAATACCTAGTTTTGAGACTAAAAGACGTAGATTTCACACAAAACAAATCAGGATGAATGAGGATGCATATTCGTTTGACATCAGTGTTCTTCCATTTTCTATAGTTTGTTTGTGTTTTTGTTAATAAACATAATAATAAAAAAATGTTCATTGTGGTAAACGAAATAATAATTTGACCTAAGTTAGAGTTTTTATTTTCTTCTAGATTTGTCAAAAATCCTTACGTGTTAGAAAAAATGAATATTATTTCCGAAATCTGCGTAGCTGAATTATGGAAAATCCGTTAT